AAGGATTTAAGAGACATAATAATATATTGAAAAATAAATCATTAATCAAATTTTTTATTTAAAATTGTAAGATTTATAAAAACTAAAAACCACAAATCACCTAATAAGCAATAAAGCATAAATCGAGCCAGACTTTTAGATCTAATGGTTTGACCCTAAGCCTTAAGTACTTGGGTAAGGTGGTTGGAATTTCGAGCTCCACCATCATCGAGCTCTATTACCATCGTGAAGTCCACCAAAAAGCGGTCTGATGGCCGCGCGTCTCATTTGAGTAGGTGAAATGTTCACCCAATCTAAAACTCAGTTGCTAACAACTAATTCATACTAACTTTCTAATTATTACTCTTGTAAAAAAATATAATAATAATAAAGCATAAATCTAATAAGAAAGAAAAATCAGCCGTGCGAGCAGAAGGGAAGCCTCTCACCTTCATATCATGTGTCCCACACGGACAGGCAAAAAAGCACCACTTACCTTCTCAAACCAAAACTTCGCCAAGTATGGTTTTTCATGTACCATATAAAGTTTAAAAATAAATTAAAAAGATGCTCTAGCAATAGGACCAAAACTATATAATTAACCATACTTACAAACTTCGTCCGATGATATTCAGGAACTCAGCCACTAGCTGTTAAACACAGACAAACTTTAGCAAGAATGGTTTGGCTGATGACCCCTTCTTTTGAGCGCAAGATATGTTTAGTCCATGCTATACTTACGTAGAATATATGTAAATGCACATGTGAACTCTCAACAAAGAACATAATAGGATATCAAGAGTGAAGAAGTAGATGACATACCTGCGTGCTTGACAGAAAATGAAATGAAATTATAAAAGGTGGACACCTGATAACAAACCTAACTCTTTCTTATATAATTGAGGATAGGGTTGGGCATTTTTTAACCGAATCGATGGTTTACTCAAAAACCGAATTGAAAAAATGAATTTGGTTCGGTTTTAATGGTTTTTGATTTTAATATTAACCAAATATATTTTGGTTCGGTTTCGGTTGAGTTTTTTAAAAATTGAAAACCAAAAATAAAACAGAAATTAAGATAAAATAA